TTTTTCTCCGTGAAAGATTTGGGAGGCCCGTTCCTCAATGTCAAGACACTGTCGCTACCCGTAAACTGCGAAAACTCATTAAGGAGGCCTTCGTAACTGAGCTGGAGGGTGATAAATCGGACTTAGAATATCCCTGTCTTCATGAACAGGCCCGTTTTCGGGATCATAAAGCCGTCTTCGTGAATGAGGTAGATTAGCAGCTTTTAGTTTAGTAGGCTCCATGTTATGTTAAGGAGGCCACCCTCCTGGCATGGGAGGCCCCGTTACAAACTAGGAGGTCCTGTTTCGGGTTGGGAGACACTATAATCAGGACGCCCCATTTCTAGAACAGGATGCCCCTTTCATGTATCAGATGGCCGCGGTTCCAGATCAGGGTGCGTTATGTTGGGATAACGAGGCCCCTTTACCCTTGGCCAGATTTGGAGGCCACTTCGCAAAGTGCAGCATGCTGTTCTAAATTTTGAGGCCTCTCTGTGCATCAAAAGGTATTTTTGTGGAATAGTTGGCCCCGCTTGGGGAAATCCGGTACGGAATTTCGATAATCAGAGGGCTTCATCCTGTATTTTATCACTGTCGACATTCATTGACCGGGGCATATGTGTAACATCGTATCCCAGTCAATGAATGTCACACGCCCTCGGCGTACCTCAGCGTGAAAACGACTTTTCCCTAGCTGGAGTCATTTCCGTCCCACACCTAACCTCGACACCAATTCTGGGACCTTACACAGGTAAAAGTTATCAAATGGCTACAGAACCGGGCGACCAGCTAGCCACCGGTGCCGTCCTGGCCAGCCGCTGACTCGAAAACTGGGTAGCCGCAGCCTTCCTGCTCCAGAAAATTACCAGACGGAGTTCACTTCGTTCTCGCAGTGCCCCGGAAGCAAAGCAAACTTCTAAGCGCCTGGCGAACATTTTTTTCGAACTAGTTCACACCCTGTAAGTCATGTCGCTGTTCAAGCCAATGGGCTTATTTGTGCTGGGGATGTGTTTAAAGGAGTGTTTCACATGTGTATGGTGTTTGGAACTGAAATAGCCATCTTGAAGATATTTCGATGCTGTTCACAGTCCTGCCCTTCCTAAGACCTAAACCCCTCTAGTTTTTTAGCTATACGGCCGCAAAGATGGGAAAGGTTTATCGGGGAGAATATTTCAAAGTCATCTTGGCTTTCATGACGTCATGATAAGGTCACTGAAATCTTGCCACTCCATGAGCCATGCGACGATCAAGGCCAAGCAAAATATAAGCGTCGAAGCGCTCATATATGGCGTTCGTGAGCGCGATTTCCAGATAAAACGACCGTTAATTGGCTCTCAGTCAATGTTGTGCAATGTACGATGATGTACTCAAATCATGACGCATTGGGGGGGGGGGGGGGCGTGTTTACTAAGCAGAGAATCGTGTTGTCTAGAGCAGCTTTTTCCACTTAAAAGGCATACCGAAATATAAGTGAGCTTCATACCTCATCATATCTTCAATATCTTCAAATGTGAAACATTCCCTTTAGGGACTATAATTTCATATTGAGTTAGGCCGCCCAGCGCCCCAACTTTGAGAAGTAAGTTGGCCAAGTTGAGGGTTGGTACCCTGTTATGTATGTGTTGGTGCAGATTTAGTCTGTTTCTTCCTGCTCAGCATACTCGACTTTTTTAAAACTACGCCCTGTATTTACTAAATAGGTAGGCACCTGGCATGTACCCAGACTACATATATCAGAAGTGAGCTGTGCGGAAAGATGAGGCTCACATCGTGGTCGACATCTCTAACCAAGCCTTGTTGACAATCGGACACATGTTCCTAATTCGATGGTTAGTGCTCGCGCTTCGTTGGCAGCAGGCAGCTACCGATAACTTAAGATTCACCATCACTTCAAGACAATTCGAAACACCTGTACCCGCGTTTTCGGTGTTGGTAATCAGTACTGAGTTGGTATTGATGGTGTAGGTAGTGGTGAAAAAGACTTTCACATTCGTATAGGGGTTTGAACTGAGATAACCCTTTTCAAGATCATTCCCTGAAGTTCACAGTCATACCCTTTTTAAGACTGAAAATCCTCTCCTTTGTGAGCCAGACGCTCGCGAACTTGTGCGGACTATTTCGCTCCGCATAATTTGAAGTCACACAGAGGTGCGTCACTTCATAAAAACGTCACAAGCAAACATTCGCAAACGTTCATCTCATTATTGCCATATCGCGTTCGAGGCCAAATATTAAGTCGAATGTGGTCATTGAGTTGTGCGTGCCTGGAGTGCGTGCAGCACCAACGGACTGCAGTTGACTTGCAATCAGTTCAACACGTTAAATGCAAGTTCCGAATACAATCACGTTTTGTAATGCATAATACAAGAATTCGGACAGTGTCACTGGTTATGACTGAAATGAGGTTTACAAGTAAATAGGGTAAAAATAGCGATGTAACCGTAAATGCGAATACAAAACGAAAAATAAAAATCGGTAATCGGTCGGCAATGGCGCGCGTTGGCTGGCCGTCAGGAGTACGAGCAGACGCGGCAGGACCACGAGGAGACCCGCTCCGCCATCGAGCAGGTGGAGACTCGCGTGGAGGAGAGCGAGCGGACAACACAGGCCCAGCTAGGCGAGCTGCGCGCGCGGCTGGAGCAGATCGCCGACAAGATGGTCCAGCTGGAGGGTGACGTCATCAAAGAGAAGGTGAGCCGACGCGGCGCCGCGCTCCAGCTGTCGGCGAGCGGCGGGGCGCGCGCGTACGGCGGGCGAGGCGACGACTGTGCGCTGACACCGGGCACACGCATGCCGGACACGGCAGAGTGTGTCGTGTAGGGTGTCGGATATCAGTTCGGGCGATTCGCATGTGCCCAGGTCTGTTATGCACGTAACTCATGCAGGGAGCTGGACGTTGTGTTCAGCGTCATGTCGTCATGGGAATACAGGCGCCTCGACGAGTGCAATGGGTACGATCTCTTGTTGACGCGGCTTCGGACATGCGGCTCGCCGCAGAAGGCGCTGGTTGAGCAGAAGGACGAGGCGGCCCCGAACGTGATGACGCTGAGCTCGATGCTGAATCGGCTGGAGACGGAGGTGATCACGCTGCGGCATGAGGTCGACTCCAACCGGCACTCGATCGACTCGATCACGTCTGTCACCCAGCTCGACTCGCCCAAACGCTCGCCTGACTCTGAGCAGCGCCAGACGTCCAGTAGGTGAGTCCGACCGTCCACTGCATATGCTCGGCACTGGTGCCGCGTTAGCTCAGGCACGTTTGCCAGAAAAGGCACACTTGGCATCCGGCATTAAGGATTTAGAAGGTTAAGGGTTAAACGCCGTTACGAGTGACGGAATTATGTACGCGGATGCAGTTTTTTTTACCAAAGGCGAAAAGCGTCAGCAGTGAAATCGTTAGCACATCAGGCATCGTGCACTCCGTTGCCAGCCTGCGTGCCACGCAGTGGGCAAATATTTTGTTGGCCCAATCGCTTTGGCTGGCGTGGGGCAGCAGGGCTGTGACGGCAGGCAGTCGCATGCGCCGTTTGTGATATGAACGAGTGTTAACGCCATGCGTACGAGAACAGCTGCGCCCCCCCGGCACCAGTGGCTGGCTTATGAAGTGCATGTGTCGCTGGCAGGAGCCGTTCGCTCATCGTTAGCCGAATGCAGCTGGCCCAGCGCCGCCTTATCGACTTCTGCTGTTATAACTTTCTGGGATGACGTCGGATCGTCATTTCTAGGCAGGGCACGGAACCAATAGCGCTAGTGCGCGGCTGCATGCATGTGGCCGTTGATCATTGTTGGCAATGAAAAGCCACTAGATGGTAGGGAGCGATGGCTGACAATGAGAAGCCTGCCGTCAAAGCGCCGTGCCGCGCCGGACTGTACCGCGGCGTTCTTTGCCGTTGGGCGGACGGGCGTGGGTGGGGCTGGGTTCTGAAGCCCTATGGCTGTAACTGGCTGTGGGTCTGGGCTACTACATCGCTCGGGCGCTGTCACGTCTGTTTGGACTGCCACGGCTCTGCGGCCCCTATTAGACGAGCTGGCTCGGAAGTGGGCTCAGATGGGAGGGGGGGTGGTGCGAGTGTACAGCGCGCCGCTCGAGCGAAGTCCCCCCCCCCCCCTCACCCGCCGACGCCTGGGCGCCGCCGGCAGGGACTGGCAGCAGACGGGCCGCACCGACCAGTCCAAGAGCTCGGCGCCGCCGGCCGACGGCGAGAGCAGCCGGACCGAGCAGCTGCCGCCGACGCCACAGCGGCCGGCCGGCGAGCGGTCGCGCCCCGAGGGTGAGTGCCCCCCCCCCCCGGGTCCCGCTCGAGGGGCCGCCACCCGTGACGCTGAGTGGCAGTCCTGAGACAGACGCCGACCGGACGCCCTCGCAACACCTTAGCTGGCAGTTAACGGCGCCGGGTGGTGACTTCGTGAGCGGGTCTGGCCAGTGTGGTGATTCGGCTGGGGCTGACGGGCATGGGCATTGAGGGCATATCCGTCTGCTAGTGAAGTGTGCTGCCAGAGAACGAATTCAGTGCTCTTGGTTAGGAGGTTTGCCAGCTGTTCAGCTTGCGGGCAAGGGACTGACCGTATTCTTACATCACCCCGGGTGGAACTCTCTGTGCGTTAGAATGTGAAATGTCCCTTTTCAATTAAATGCCTCTTAGTTTTGAAGAGCGTCTTATTTGGAAACATCTTGGCGTTGTGCTCGCTGAAAAGTCCGCAATAGGTGGTGGGTGCCTTTAGCTTAAGTTTATGGTGACACCTCTTGCGATATCATCCTTGCGAATTTAACCATGTCGCCAATTTTATCCTCGTTGCCAAGGATCGAGAACCCTTTGATTAGAAAGCCTCGGATAATCTTGTTCGGCGCCCTTCAACGTAGCGTAACACCATTAATTCCCATTCTAGACTTGGACAGCTTTAAGGATTCGAACTCGGACATGAGCGGGTCGGAGCCGGCGCTGGAAGTCAGCCAGCCTCAGCAGCAGGAGCCGAGGCAGCAGGCGCCGCCGCAGCAGCGGCAGCGGGCCACGCAGGCCAACATGGAGCGCCTCAGGCCGGCCGCCGTCTCCCCACTGCGGGTAGGGCAGGCCAGGCGGCGGCGGAGCACTCGCCCTCCGCCGTCGCCTATGCACTAACCCGATGACGTTTTTGTTGTTGACGTTTATTGTGAGTGGCGTGCCGTTGCGAGGGCAGATGCTCCTTGGAGGATCGTGCTGGATTGATTTGGCACGTGACCCCGTACATCGAAAACAAGTGGCGCTGGTGGCTTGAGTGCACCCTGCAACTAATTAAAGGAAGTGCTCCGCATTTGAGAATATTAAAGCAAGCATCAGATGTGATGAAATAGGCTCATTTGTAACTACCGGTGAAGTTTAACGTGGAAAGGACTGCTCCAGTCAGCACAAAATCTCTGTGCAGTAAATATGTTCCTCGATGCATCATTGTTTGATGACGTCATCGTACCGTGTACGACATTGATTGGGAGCTAATTGACGGCCGGCTTGTCTGAAAATTATACTCACAAAAGCGAGACATGGATAACTTGACAAGTATATTTTTCTTGGCCATGATCGCCGCATGGCCAGTGGAATGGCGGGATTTGAATGACGTTATTATGGTGTCATATATACCTGAGTGGCCTTGGAGTAGTCTGCACATTTTCGCGGACGTGAAGCTCAGAAACTAGAAGGCCTTCAGAAGGACAGGCCTGTGAACGGCACCGAATGGTGATCTCCAAGATGGCTATTTCAGTTCAAAACCCCATACAAATCTGGAACACTCCCAATAAAGGCTTTCACGGGCTCCGTTTGATGTTGAAGGCCGGTAATCAGAGCACACGTGTTTTTTGCGCCAATCATCTCTCACCACACAGGCGGAGCGTAGGCCGCCACTTACTCTTGCTGATGGAGACGCGTTGTCAGCCGCCTTGAGGCGAGAGCCAGCCAGGAGTGCCGTAGAAGCCCACGATGCAAGTGGGACGTATTGGCCGTCAGCCCCATATGTCTGGAATGTCAGCTGGTGATGAACGACCGCCGGTGTTGTGTTTCGCGTTGTCGGTGGCTGACCGCGTCGTCTGCGACCCAGATGTTGGGCGGTCGTCGCGGCACCAGCTGTTGCCGCCGCCACCAGCCGGAGGTGCTGAGGCAGCTGCGGCAGATGCACCTGCTGCCCGCCGCCCGGACCGGCAAACGCAGCCGATCGGCAGCGCCGTCGGTGAGTGGAGCGGCGGCTCGGAGCGGGACGGGTCTGCTGTACAGAACTTCACACACTGGGCAAACACATGGACACCTGTATGTAATGGGTAACAGGATGGGTTGGTTGAAGATTAGGGGAAAATTGTGGGTGCAGGTAAGACGTTAACGAAATTTCTGCTAGAAACTTCAAGAAATACCGCACAGCATGACTTTTCGCGCTAATTTCACTCATAGTTCACTCCATTTTCAGTGCATTTGCAGTGAATCACCAACGCGAGAGAAAGTTAAGATGTAAACTGTCATGGAATTGTTCAGTAATTTAAAACCAAAGTGCTAGAAAAATTTCGAACGAGTGGGTAACATTTTTGATGCGCCTCATTATACATGGATGGCGAGTGGATTGGAGCACAGCCCCATGGCTAGAGGGAAGATTGGGTAAAGGAAATATTACCCGTGAATGCCCCTAGTGTGCAGTCCGGTCGGCTCGAATCCCTGGACACCTGGGTGTCAGCAACGACCACATTTGGTAGATTGAAATTGGCATTGCCCAGCGGCGGACACCGACGGAATCACCAACGGAGGAATCGTGACCTACATAGCGCTTTGGCCGGAGAAGCGATTTGCAGTCATGCAAGGGCCCGCAGAGGACAGAGCGGAGGGCTGAGCCTGACGTGTAGGGCCTGTGCGTGCCACCGATGCCCGGCGCTTGCAGGTGGCGCGGGAGGAGAGCGATGCCTCGCCGCTGCAGGAATGCTGGGCGCCGGACCTGAGCACGGCCAGCGCCAGCACCGAGGCGCCTCGACTCAACGAGTCGACGCGCGGTGAGCGCCCCGCCGGCCGCGCCGAGACAAACGCTGCCGTCAGTCTCGTCGCGGCGGCCGCGACAACGGCGACCAACGCGCCAGCTGGCGGCCATGGGCGGGGCCAAACGCCGGCTTACTGGGATACGCGTGCGGGACTTCAGTGCAATTTTAAGGGTTCTGTGGCAACTGGGAAATTCACTTTGTGTCATTGCTGCAGATTTTATGACATGAAGTTTGTCCGGAACGACTGCATCTGATACAACGATCGGTCTCGCTAATTGCTGGCTGCCGTAGGTTGAGGGCACAAAGTGGCACTGACCACCGTGCGGCTGCTATCCACGGAACGTTCGAGTAATGAGCATACACCCGGGTGTTGCTTGACGTGATCCGTGTTAACAAATCGCCGACGGTCTGCCGCTGGACATGGGTAATTATTGCGCCTATTCTACATGGAGTGCACGGGCTCGATTACTGTTACGGCCGTCTTGCAGTCCACCATGGTTCGTCGCGCGCTGCGCCCAGGAACGCTGAGGATCGACACAGCAAATCGCACGTCTTCCTGAGCAAAATCGACTGCGTAAGTACCGCGGCGTGGTTGGCAGTCCACGCTGATGTCGGAGCGTCCGACTGCAGCGCGTGGTCCCGGGTTCCTTCGTGAACACGTCAGCCAACCCGATCCTACTTTCCACCGCGACCCGGTATCATAAATAAAGTACGAACCCACGCATTGTGATCGTCGTCGCCTGAGGTCATGACGAAAACATCTCAGTCTGTCGGGCACCTCTTATCTATTTATGCCTTGAGAATTGTAGTCGGGCAAAAGCGAGTTGTCTCCGGTCTCTATGCCCATATGTTGCAGCTAAAGAGTGCTCAGGTTTGTCGTTCCTTTGTAACACTAGGCCCTGATTTATCTTCCACTACGCTGGGACATACCAACTGGTTAAGCGAAATCGCGAATGGCAATCAGGCCCTCAATCCACGCACGAGAAATTGTCTTGAAACGGTGGTTAAGTAAGGCGAAGCGTCATTGGGTCGGATCAGAGGGCTTTCAGGTGATGATATGCATTGCATTTTAATTCCAGCGTAATATTGACACGAATCCATTACAAATGAATCTAGAGCTGGAATTGCTTGCGATCCCCACAAAATTAAAACTTGATTCATGTTCTGGAACATTGGGTTTTCCTAGTAACGACTGCAAAGCAAATGACTACAGTACACTAAGCCAATAGTTGTAGATATAAGTTCAAGCTCCTCTTCACATTGCCATAAATCAAGCCTCTGTCAATGAATTCCAACCCAATTGCGATTAAGGCCCAATGTAATGCGTTCTCACCCTAGAAAGCATTATTGCTAGGGGCCCAACTCATTCATCACGCGATGCCGAAGCAGCTTCGGTTATTGGCTATTTAGATTTCCCGATGGCGATGTCAAATGATTTATTAGCGGTGCCGAGGTGAGATCCGTTTTCACCACAGAACACTGTCGTCGGGCCACGAACCTGACCTCGTGAGCATTGCACAATACAAACTTCAGGTCGCCGTCGAAGCCCTTACCAGAGTTGAGGTCCCTGGGAAGTTTCGTGACCGCCGTTAATTGAAGGTCTGCGTCGCACTTCGGTGCTATTTCAAACGTCCGCGGAGAGTCCGAGAGCAGCCGCTCACGGGGAGCCGCTTTCGCAAGCACTGAAGTCGGATGTGTATTATTCAAGGTAGCTTTAGGATGCGCCCACGTGTACTACCAACTGTTCTGCAAGAATCGAATACTAATCGAATGCTGTAGGATTTGATCTTGGAGTGCTCGTTTGCGGTGACTGTGATTTGCCTTTGATGGGCTCTTAGGTTCTTGCTGTGCTTGCTGGTTTATTATGTATCGTGTGAAGCGCACAAAGGCAGTTCGGTCGCAGCCGCCGACCTGTCCACCTGACCATCCTCGCTGCCTCCGCGCCGCCAGATGTCCGACCCCTCCGATAAGCTGGACCACCTGCAGCACAAGCTGTTGGACCTGCGTCAGCGCGTGCTGCTCAGCATGTACCGGCGGCAGCGGAGGCGCGCCGTCTCGGAGGCGCCGCGCGGCCAGCAGCTGGCCGACCAGCAGCGGCGCCGCGCCCAGCTGGCTGCCATCGACCGCCGGCTGCGCCAGCGCATCCACGGCTGGAACCGGCGCCTGCTGGCCGAGGCTGGCCGACAGCCCGGCTCGTCGACGGTTAGTCGGTCCGGACGAGTACCCTGATGGCGACGGCCGGCCCTCCCGCGTGCCGATTCACGGTCTGGATGTCACCACTTCCTGAAGCGTGTTTTTACGGCTTCGTGGGTTCACGGTGCCGGTATTTGTTTTTGTTATACGTCAGATCAACTGGCGGGAACGGAGGTGACCTCAGTCAGCCTTGCTCGTGGGTGCTTTTGATTGATGATGCATTGAGATCAAACTATTGAAAATGTGCACGCGATCACTCAACGCTTGCTGGCGTATTTTGTGCATCTAATATTTACTATCCAAAGTAACCAAGAACATGACGCTGAGCCAACGTGCTTGACAATCACGAGCGCTGTCTGGGACGTAGGGCGACGTGGTGTCGGAGACATCAACCACCAACAGCAGGGAGCTGGCGAGCGACTCGGGGTCGCCAGCTCCGGTGACCGCCACCCAGCGCGCCGCCAGCGAGTACCTGCACCAGCTCAGCCACATGCTGGCCAATTCCGCGCACGTAAGCCCGTCGACAGCGCATTGGCCAGGACGCGCCCGCCATTATTGTCTGTGCGCGTTGTCCGGTCTGCGATCGTCGTAGGATGCAGCCGCGCCGTGGGAGTCCCCAGCGCCTTTCGTAATGTCCGGCCCGTTGCGCCTGGGCGTCTCTCTCGCACATAGAGGCTGCTATTCGGTTGTGAACAGCCTGCCGCGGATGCCTTCCTGACTGACGCGTCTGGCCATGCGTGGACAGCGTGACGAGGCGAAGACTCGCGACACCTCGCGGGGCAGGCACCGGCAGCGCGCGCACAGCCCGCCCACCAAGGACCCGAGCGCGTGCGTGCGCCGGTCGAGCCGCCACCAGCCAGCCGCAGTCAGCGCGCCTGGGAGCCAGATGGAGCGGGTCAGTGAGGACTGGGACTGGGACCGGGACCGAGGGCGGGACCGGGACCGGGACCGCGACCGGGGGTGGGGATGCGGTGGAGCCGCCCTCTCCGCCGACAGCTAGACGCCGCGGGGCCTGGGCATAACGGGCATCCGAGAAAGGCTGGGCTTGTGCTTTGGTTGTTCTGCGCACCTGTGGTGGCCGTCTGGAGCGTCTGCGAATCAAGCTGAGTCCAATCAGTCGTGTTTTTGACCAATGCTGCTGCGTTGTGTGATTAGGTGCCTGCTGTGAGGCGGACATGAGAGGGAATCACCAGGTAGGACGCGTGTGTGTGTAAGGATTCTTCACTGAACTAATGTGGTGCAAAGAAATGAAATAAAATTGTGAAAAACATGACGGAAAAAAGTGCAATGAAAGAAAACCCAGCTAACTAGGACGCATCGGTGCCCTCAGCGGCGGTCAAACGAGCAGAAGGCTGCCAATAACCCACTGTGGCTGGTCGGCAGTTCGCCCGTAACGAGTCGAAGCTGGTAGAGCTGCAGTCGTACCTGGGCGGCATCCGACACCACCTGCAGCGGATGGCGTCCGAGCTGGACTCGCCGCCGGTCCGGCCGGTCGGCCGTGCCGCGCCGACCGCACAGACGGCCGTGTTCGCGCCCTGGCACCGGGCCCTCCGCGGCCGCTCGCTCTCCAGCCAGCGGCCGCCGGTCGGCTCGCGCTGGTAGTCGGCCGGCCGCGGCCGCGTCGCTGTCCTGTGGGGCGCCACGGCGGCACTGTCGTGTTGGTGCTCGTCTCTCGTCGCTGCCGTGTGCCGTTCCCGTGCGGCGGCGCTTCAGGAGTAGGATGACTCAAATTGTGCTGTAATCTGCGGCGGTTCGTTTCGGCGGGGTGACACGCGCGGCGTGGTTGTGTTTACACTGTGGGGGGGGGGGAGGGGGTCGAGTCAGAGTTACGATATTCTTTGTCTTGCAATCTGAAATTTTTGTAAATTGCCAATAAATTGAGATGAATAAAGTGATGCTCTTTGACATGTCAACGTTGTTTAACAGCTACACTTGATATCAGACGAAAGGTGTCATATTCTAGGCGTACACTCAATTTCATGCATGCACTAATGCGGCTTTTGTTTTGCCTTGTCAGGTCAGGCATGTACAATTTTAATGCAGCGATTTCCTGAAACTAGATTAAAATCCGTCATAAGGTTGCCACATGCCGTAACACGGCAAAACGTTTCATGCAACATTGTTCTACAAATGAAATGTTCGTGGACGACTTTAGTGCCGTGAGACCATGGAGCCCGCTATAACATGCCGAGTGGGGTAACTTTGCATCATGTAAAAGCGAACAATCTTAGCGCGGTCGGTGGTAACAAATAGCGTATGAATTAAAGCACATAACGCTCAAAACTAAACAACCTTAAACTTTGGTCTTACAAAGCTTAATGCTGAACGGAAACTGTCTGACGCTGCCCAAAAACAAACGGAATTATTGTTTTTAGCGATGACGAATAGGGTGTGGGGGGGGGGGAGAGGCAAGAGAGTATGACCCCCGTCAAAGTTCAAGAGACCATGGTTGCTCTCCCCCCCTCCCCCCACAAGAAGACGGTCGGACGATGCTTTTTATGTGCATGCTGCACCATCATTGCAAAAATGCATTGCGTTTGTCTCCCGTTTTGCTACTGTTTCGGCAGTAGCATATTTTCGCTTTATTTGCAGCAGATTCATGGAGAGAGAAAGTTGCAATCCACCGCGCCCAGGGAGTGCAGTCTACCTTGCGGAGGCGCGCGTTTCCATGGCAGCGTGATCAACGCATCTGGCTTGCTGTTTCACACCTACGATGCTCCACAAGTAGCTACGACCCCGATAAAGATAGATCCGTCCGGTGTAGTTAGTAAACGACGTGACGTTATAGACTGCCGGTGTCTGAGCAACGAACACCGGTCATGAAGCCACGCCTCCGCCTCTGGCCTCTCTTTTTTTGGTGGAGTTTTTTGACGTAATAGGACTAAAGCTAGAGTGCTGTAAATATATGGAGGACATCCACCAGTTTTGACAGCATGGTGCTGTCTTTCACTCGGTGCTGGCTAGATTAGTAAGTTCTTCAAAAGAAAGGTGTGTGGCTACCATTTGTGATTTGGAATCATCAGCGTAATACAAAAGCAAAATTATAACAAAGTGTGCATGGTATTAACTAACATGGCGCGATATGTAGTGTGAAAAGTGGATGCGTAGCGGTAAGTACTGCGAGATAGCTTGGTTATGGGCGTACTAGAGATCCGGGATGCACGCCTACTCTTTATTGATGTTCGGGACGTAGGTAGGTGTTTAACATGTTCATGCCATTGAAAAATGGAGGCAGGCAAGATGCAGGTGGATTCCTTTGTTCATGTTGTTGGTTTGCTGCTTTTTGCAATGGGCTTTACACAATTTCCTGTTTGGGGACTGGATGTTTTATATGACATTCTATGAGAACGGTGCTCCTCGCCCAAAAAGAATTAAGGTCTAGATATGTTCTGCGACTGGGTATTTTATACCACCGCCAAAGGCGGGCGTGGCTTCAGAAGCGGAATTTCCACGGGTTCCCGACACTGCGTTGCGGGGCCCTCTGCCTAAATCTCAACCCATCCGCATTATGAATTTGACGTCGGAATCTGGCTACGTTATTTTTGCAAAAGCACTATGGGCGTTGCTAGAAAAAATGACCAAAAATAACTATCGCCCCCCCCCCTCCCCACCCCGCGACTTGGATGTCCTTCCATTGCCCCTGCACATAGACATTATCGAAAGCTCGCGTTGCTTATGATGATTTTGGGCCTTCCCCAAGTATTTGAGCCTGATTCTGTGAGATGATAATGAATCGATTTCTCGCCGTAGCACTCAATTTCCCTCCACAACATTCAATTTCCCGTGCCCACTTCGCTCTACGAGAACGGTTAAGGTCGCAAGAAGGACTCGTCGGAAATGTAATGCGATGAAAACATTCGTAGATCTCTTTGGAGTGCTACGCTCAAAAGCATGTCATGCCCATACGAATAGCATTCAGCTGGTGTAAATGATATATTCCCTCGGTCATAGTGCATTGTTTGCTCGCCAGTCAATCCAATGTCATACGCACTGCCGTCCAGGGCTACAGACAGGCTTTCCTCAGGGGGGGGGGGGGGCTCAGTCAGGGGTGTAGTTTTCTATTCAGTTGGGCACGCCAGCCCCCACCCCGCGTTGAGAAAATAGCGGACCAAATTCAGGGGAAACTCGTTTGCTGGTGCAGTTTTTGGGTAGGTTTCGTCATTTTTCACCATTCAGCCCCTTCCCAACTCACTTCGCGAAATTTCGCCTCTGGATTTATGCACTCGATAGCGACACATCTCACCGCACTACCCAATTTAAAGAGCACGCTGGTTTTGGGGCCGTCCACACACTACGTCGCGCATGGATGGAATGGGGATGGGAATGAAACGTGACCGAAGCGGAACAAGGGAAAGGAGGATCGTGACGTTACGCTCAGGTGTGGTTGCATAACACGCTTAAGTCTTTTTATGCCCTACATAAAACATAAAAACATGCAATATGAATACAGTTAGCTTCCTCTCATGACAGGCACGCCAATGGCGCAGCGGGGGGCACAAGGACTCGAGCTCCTCTCCCCCCCCCTTGGGTCCTGTCGGGCCCTTCTAGCTGTAGGCCGAAGGACCCTTCAGAATCCTTGAGATTTGATTGGAGAGCATATTACAAATTTAAAATTTTTGAGGTTGACATCTGAACGGATGAAAAGTTATAGCAACGCGAAAAAGAAAGATTCTATCCTTTCCCTTCCAGTTCCACCGCCAGATTCCAGCACCAGTTCGGCGTGCTTTAAGTGCTTCTCCGTTCCTCTTATCAATGCTAAGTCGCACATCTGGAATATCCGCTCGGGCTCTCTTCTAAACGAGCAAATTGATGCCCTAAAGCATGCAAAGTTACTGCTGGATACATCATTATTCTTGTACGTCCGATGGACGCTGTGCAGTTTTTTTTCCAGATGAACATGGGTTGACCATACTCATGCAACTTTTTAACCATATCTAGATAAGTTGTCAACGTATACGGGTTTCTGCATATATCTGAAGAATGCATTCAAAAATTCTGACAAGGTCTCTGAGTGCTATTGATTTAGAAATAGTCCGCTTAACCGTTGCAAAATGAATAGCGCCGGCTGTTTGTTCCACGAAGTCATGTGACGTCCGCTTCCTTCACTTTATTACTTCGAAATACGAACAGAATAGCATTTACCGGTCGTTCTCTGGCTTCTGCTCTTGTTAAAGGAGTCAATACAAAACAAAAAAGCAGCGAAGGGAAGTCGTGCCCCTTGAAATCAAGAGGACAAAATGCGTCGAATTTTTCGGGAGGGGCGGGGCGCTTTCAACATCAGGAGGCCTTTATCAACGCTGTCCCCCTACCCCCACCAATCGCCTTAGTTAGGGTCTGGCGGCGCCCCTACAAGCAACACGTCCGTCTTTCTTTTGCAACTCTAACTTGCCTAAGGACAAAATTTATATTTTCGTTTTGGGGCATTGCATTTTAACGGGATGTTTCACATTTGGGGATGCTGAAGCAGACACGACATACGATGAAATAAGCCTACCCATAACTATAAGTATACTTATAAGTGGAAAAGACCCCTCTAGACAACACAACTTCTCTGTTAAGTAAATATGTTCATCGATACGTGATAGTTTGAAAACATAGTCGCCTTACACATGAAAACAAGTATATGAAAACAAAACATCGCGCTAGACATCATTGATTGAGGGCCAGTTGACGGCCGTGATTTCTGGAAATGGCTCTCATGAACAGCAGGTATGAATGACTTGGCAATTTTAGTTTTATCGGCCTTCATTGCCGCATGGATTATGGAATGGTAGGATTTGAAAGGCGTTATTACGACGCCATAAATGCCAAGGTGATCATGAAATACTCAACAAACTTGAAAATACTCATGATAGGAGGGGGGTCTTCGCCCCACACAGCAAGTGCATAATCAAGGAGGGAAGGGGTGGAAAATGGCGACAAATATGCAACGTGCTTTATGAGCATCCCCTTTAACTCTCTGTCACAAGCTTTCTACCGAGGTACACTAAAAAATGTGTGCGGGGGGGGGGGTCACTCTCCATTTTACTTACGCTACAGTCCGTAACCTGTTCTGGTTGATTAACCTCTGGCTAATAGACCAGAAAGCGTATGTAGGTATGGTGGTGGTGGAACAGGTCGCCCTCGTTCTGGCACTCAGCGTGATTTCACGCATCTCGTCCGCCTGGGCACAGGTGTCAACGCCAGAGCGCGTGCCGCCTGCACGAGCCAGGCCTTGCAGGAAACCTGTTCTATTATTGTACCAAAATGATTTCCCCTGCTACGCGCTTATATATGCATCTATGACGGAGTGTTTGCGTTGAGGCGTTAGGAGCTGAGAAAGTCAACGGCGACTAAATCACACAAGCAAAGCAGAAAACCGGTACAAGACTCTAAAGCAACTTTGAACCTGCCAGGGTCAATCCAACAATGTGCCGTCATTCTTTGAGTATCATCTCCCTAGCATTTATCCTCGCCCATTTCTAACAACCAGCCGAGCTTGGTGCTGACGAGCTCCTTGTCGCATATCCTTTCATTGTGCCAACCAACGTTCATATGCTATCCTGTAAACATTCTATATTCTGTCCCACATCTTTGTCACATAATATCTTTCGCTTAAATTCCCGCAACCATCAGAAGAAAGCCATCTCATTTAACCTAAACCTTTTTTTGTCGAAATACAGTTTCAACCTCACCACACGTCTGGGCTACAGTGTACACAGTGTACGTAACATTATTATGGTGCTCGGGTAAAGCAAAAGCCGTGAAGAGTGGAAGAGCTGATTCACGGCGCATCGGCTTGACCAGCAGCCATGGCTGTGGTGAGCTACGGTGACGTGGTGCCGGTGGCACGATATCAGTGCTGCAGCAAAGCTCCTACCGACAGGAGTGCTGTGGCAAAACTCCTTCCGGCAGGAGCGCTGCGGCAAACCCTTTCCGACAGGAGTGCTGCTGTAAAACTCCTACCGACAGGAGTGCTGTGGCACTCCTACTCCTACTGCTACTCCTTCCGACGGGAGTGCTGCGGCAAAATTCCTGCCGACATAAGTGTTGCAGCAAAACTGCTGCCGACAGGAGTGCTGTGGTAAAACTCCTTCCGACGGGAGTCCTGCGGCAAAACTCCTACCGACATAAGTGTTGCGGCAAAACTCCTGCCGACAAGAGTGCTGTGGCAAAACTCCTACCGACAGGAGCGCTACGACATTAGTTCTACGCGACATTACTTGGACTGCAAAGGCTTCTGTAGACATGAGTTACACGTGAAATTACTTCTACTCTAAAGACTCATACATGATATATATATATATATATATATATATATATATATATATATATATATATATATATACATGTGATACATGGCAAAATGTATAATTCGAAGACATGTGCCCGCTGACAATACTTTTGCGCGACATTTGTGCTTTAGAATGCAGGCCATGCTTCACGAACTACACCCTTCAGTACTTCTACTCATAGGTGAAGCCTCGCCCCCACAGGAACAGAAAAAAACAACAAACAAATAGGAGAAGCGCGCAAATGGTAGCACTTAGACGGGCGAAATCGGACTATAAGTCCCCACTCCATGGTGTGGATACATTAGTGCTGTTGCAAATATTGCGAGCAATAGGCCTACAAAGGTGATAATTCGATGCGACGTTTCTTTCACTAAAAAAGGACTAGGGCAGTGTCGTAGCGTTGCAAAACAGGTTTGGGAGCTCAGCCGGAAACAGCCAAACCTATCCCAAACTAAAAAAAAAACAAAAAAAAAACACAGGATTTGCTCCGAATGTGACACACCGTGCTATCACAGATGAGGGATGGATGGGCTCCCAACTAAATATCAAACGACATCCGCCGTCTGATGTTCAATCAGAAGCGACATTAAGTATTCTGCAAGGAATCATGCACGGCTGTAGTGCTCCACGACAAAAACAATGTTTCAAAAAGTTAGATCCCTCATTGAGGTTCTGCTACCAAAACTACGGTTTTCACTCAAATGCCGAGCACGACAAATGAACAACGTAACTTAGCGTTATGCATACACAGTTTTTCACATCGGCACCACAAACTTTTAGGTACAGTGTCTCCCATTTGGGGCTCCCTGTAACCTGCAAAATGTTCCTGTACCCCCGCAACGTTTCCACGCATTTTTCACTCCGCGGCTTAATATAAGCACCAGCAGCTTCACTCTTTACGTCGCATATACGTAAAGAGTGAAGGCATTAAGTTTTGCAGCAGAAATAATGACCGACGTGCAAAATGCACGTCGGTCGGAAGCACAGGTTGTGTCGTGTAGCACTAATGTCGCGTGTAGGTCTTTGCAGTAAAAGTTATGCCGTGCAGAAATAATGACTGTACAAGTTTTTTAGTCGAAATAATGACGAGTGCCTATAAGTAAAGTAAAGTAAAGTAAAGCTTCATAGCTTCATTATAAGTAAAGTAAAGCTTCAAGTTTGTCGCATAGCACTAACATTGCGTTTAAGTCTTTGCAGAAGAAGTGATGTCGTTTGCCAGAAATAACTGCATGAATTTTCGCAGTAAGTTATGTCGGCTACAAGTTCTTGAAGCATACATTTGACCCATAGCACAACTTTCGTGCATAGGTTTTTGCAGTAGGAACGGTGTGCTGTACAGGTGATTGCTGTGTGAGTTTTCGCAGTGAAAGAAACGACTCGCCTGAGATTTCGAAACCTATGTTTTTCGCGTATCATTGACGTGTATTAGCATTGACAGTAGAAGTAATGTTGCAAACGACACCACTATATTCATGTAGCGTTGAAGCAATACATTGTTCAGGACTTCGATGAACAACCCAAATAAATGCGCAAACTCCCCCGGTGTCTCGGAAACTGTCGGTGGCAGCAACAGGAAAAGCACACAACTTTATCGCGAACGTAATAAAGATGTGCTTTATACATTGTTTTCATAACACATAAGACTAACTGCAGACTGCAGACTGTTTCATATCATAACAGATTGGAAGCCGTACTGGCGCACATGACTATATTTGTGAGTGAGTGAGTCAGTGAGTCAGGCTCACTGTGGCGCATATCGTACCATTTGCTTGCATATAATCATTAGGTAGTGTCACATTATCAACTTGAACAGCATTCTTAGTGCCGGATTATTAACTTATAGTACTTGGGCTCCATTGGCTCGAGACGTATCGCTTATCAAAAGGAACTGGACAATCATTCTGATAGCAATTTTGTTGTGGTTCAGGGCGGCAAAAGCGTATTTACAAACTATTCGTAAATCAGACGCAAAGCTAGACAAAGTTAAGGTCATACCGGCTATATTTTAAAAAGCGTACACATTTTGACCGTTATGAAGTCCACCCACTCTGGTACAACAAGGTATTGTCTAGTTAAGGTGCTGCATCTGTCCAGACTTCAACAATTGCAACCGTGTTTTAGTTCATTCGTGCAGCATGGTGTAGTTATTCGCTTCCAAAGAACGCTACAGAATAGGATCACACGTGCAAGGAGTAAGATAAGGTGGAATTATCCCTGGGTTTCCCATGCTTGCTGTATTTACTTCGCATTGCTCTGCTTTGCTGCAATTACTCCGCTTGAAATGCGACATGGGAATATTCGAGCCGTCCCACCGTAAAGCGCAACTTGGGATGACCATTTTAGCCAGAATGCGGGTCTGGTGAACATACATTTCGAAGAATAACATTTTTTTCTGAAGGCTGTTAAAAAGCACGAGGTGTTCGCCCGCATGTGTACGCAATTCTCCTCGCAGCCAACACAACTTCCTGTTTACTTTGGCAAAGTTTACAGGATTACACACGAGAGCAAAGAATTTCTTCAGGTATGTGCGAAACACCAAAAAGCATACCGCTGACCAGACAGTGAATTCCCCGCCTTTCCCACCTCGACGCTCGCCCGGGATAATGCAAGCAGAGGCTGGAAGGTCGTGCAGCCGAACGCGTGAAGAACTTCAATGATGCTGGCTACAATGCTTCAGAAGGGTCAGCTTCGACTGAGGGGAGACCGCTCAGGCCGTGTCGCAGTGGTCAGCACGTATTACACACGAAGCTCCAATCACGAAGAGAGGGGAGGAATGATGGTGAAAGAAGTGTGTACGTAAGGCAAGAGATCCAGATGTGATGCCCTTCTTATTTTTTAAAAGCTTGCATCAAAAGCGATGAAAAGGTAAGTTGGCATCTTATGTCTTTAATGAAGAAGCTATTATACTCGGCATAGTCTGAAGAGACGCGGCTCCGTGTTCATCATAGTGGCCTCACTAATGTGAACAGCTTTTGGACGAATGAATACATTACGCGTGCTACATCAACTGGTAGATATTGCGAGAACATCATGTGTGTTAGCGATCGCGGCTGCTTGTGACCAAAGCAATAGAAACGACAGTCTTAATGACGCTGTAAGCCGCCAAGCTGTTTTTCAAGACCGACTCAGTGGTACTACGTACGCTCGACAGCGAATTGTGAGGCCTTTGTTACCAGCTGCACCTGCCCGCCTCCACGCCCGCACCAAGCCGATGTCCGTTCGTAACTCCTCTGACGCACGTGGGCCCGGGTCACAGGTCACCTGCCCAGCAGTCGACACGCCGCGAACCAATCACCACCCGGGTCACTGCGCCTGGGGCACCGTGACCTCCGACCGCCGAACGGACGGAACGCGCCGCGCGGACGGAGGCACAAGAAAAATACATGACAATCACGTGTAGTACACGCGTTTACAGGGGCAATAACATTGATGATGCTCCAGGCCGGTAAGTCGGTTTTTCAAGATTGGCGTAGCGGTAATAACAAATGCGTGTATCGCATGTGTTTAGCGAAACAGTAATCTTAATGATTGTCCAACCCGCTAAGCCGGTTTTTCAAGATAAAGATAATGGTAATATATAAAAAATTACGATTAGTACATGTGCTTGTGTTAACGGCATCTCCTTGACCGTGGCAATTGATTTATCGTAAGCACACTGACGCTTTTAGGTACGGCTGAGCAGCAAACAAAGTTAAGCATTCGCTTCTAAAGCATCTGGAACGATTCAGTCCCTGAACCGAATTGTAGAACACGATGCACGCAAACGGAGCCGTTTGGTTATTGCGAAGCGTCAAAACATGTCTTGTTTTGGGCTAGAAACTTGCACATCAGTGCCTAATCGAACGGCCTTTTACAGTTCTGAAGAGTTCCGCAATGAGTGAAGAACTTCAATACCGCTGCAGACTTATGGGGCCGTGGAGAGCGCACTAAGGCCATGTGTAACGGCCCGGCCGCCTGCTCGCCACCGGTCACCACCTGCGTAGCCAGCGCGCCAGCCGGAGACTGGCCGTCGCACCGAGACTGGGCCACGCCACCAGCCCGGGGCGACGGCACAGGGCGGTCAGCCCAGCGGCGCGCACGTCCGCGTCCTCCGGCCGACGGCCGACGCGTCGTCGCCGTCGTCGTCGGCGACGCGGCGCCCGCCGGCCGCACTCGGCGGCCGGCTCCGGTCTCGGGAGGGCGCGCGTGACGGCCCTGGTGCTAACTCGCGAACCGTCGCGTCGCCGTCCCCCTCCCCTCCCCGCCTCCTCCCTCTCGGCTTCCCTCGGCGTCCGAGACGCTGAGGCGGACGTGACGGGACAGCTCAGTGAAGGTGGGTGACTGACAACGGCGCTGCGAATACTATGTGGGTTCGGAAGCTTGGAATTCCGACGATGCTGTCACAAGGGCATTTACACTCATGTGTTTACTAATTTTATGCTAATATTGCCCCACGTGGGCCGTAAGAGCTTCTCCTTCCTCGCTGTACATTTTTTTTAACCATGCGCGTGCTCAGCGTTTATACATGCCATGTTGCCCAAAACATGGGTAAAAAGCGGTTTAGTTCCCCTTAACAATTCATAAACTCTTTCGTTAGCAAGCAATCGAGAGCCTGTTAGGAGACATAAGAAACCATCCAAACGCCTGTTCGCACTTGTTTTTTTTAAGTAACCGAAGCTGAAATTTCGTGATGTTTTTGACCATGCCTTTGCGAGTGAACAGACATCCTTTGCAAATAGAACGGTGTTGTATTTGAACTTTTCTCTGCATTCCTTCCGTTGCATTGGCACAAAATTTGTCACAAATGCGACTCAGTTTTGAAGTGTGCTAGCCTGGTGCTTTGCACGTATATAGTGCAACGTGCACAATCATTGCTTGCACGTACACAATCATTGCTTATTGTTTATTCCCTGAAATAAACAAAGGGTAGGCATCCCACTGACAGTAGTTCGGGTTACGTGACCAAATCACAAGTGACGTTACACGATACAAATCTAAACCATTTAATAATGTTAAACGTAGAAAGATGCAATGGCATATATGCACCCTACAACACAAGCGCAGCACACGCTTTCAAGTCACTGGCCCGAAAAACAGCTGAACAACGACTGTAGTATCGCTTTGGCAATGCCATGAAAATGAACATTCGGGTGCGGCATGCATTCCAGCGCCGCAGTCTGATCTAGAAAGGCGTGCAGAGCTACTCGCATCTGGGCAGGGGCAAGGAAAGCCTTCAGTTGCAAGACCGCTGGAGTTATTTTGGTCATTTATTTCCAGTCAACGCCGTAGGGTCAAACGCGAATGCTCAGGAATTTAGGGAGCTCAGTCAGACCCCTCCCCCCTAGTTTCCGCGCCCTTGCCGCTTGCTTGCCTTTTGTCTTCTCACCGAATCATGGTCCCAACCTGTTGCTTCGACTGAGTTCGACAGCCTGGCGGGTATCGATTTTGCCCTCCGCCGCTGAGGCAGAGGGCCGGCGCTTCTTTCGCTGCGGTGACTGTGTTGATTTTACTTCTAAAAGCCACCTCAGCTGACTGTCAAATTTTAAGGTCTGGTGAAATTGTAGTTATGCATGGCTATTTCATGACCCTTTACCACATACCCTATTTCACAATCAGAAGGAAACGAATTTCTCTGAGACATAAATTTAATGTGTGTCAGTGAATATGCTACTGACACCTCGTGATATATTCTGAAAATCCGATTACAGCCTGAGAGCCGAACCGATTTGCATGAACGAACTTGGAAAGAAAGCCAGGAAAATTTATGTGGGCGTTATCTCGAATTCTCCCATGACAATTTTGAATAAAATCCACTGATATCGACAAGGCTGGCAGCAGTACATTCATATCTGAGGTCCTATTCCTTTTTGGCGCAAACCACGTCCAGTACATGGTCATTTTAAAACGTTGTGCCAAAAGGTAGTTTACAGGTCAGGAAACCACTAACCAAAACATTTGAATTCAGGGATATTGAGGGAGCTGTATCCTGCTGACCACTGATACATGGTACGACTTAAAAGGATAATTGGTGCTGCTAACCGCATACCTGCAATGTTCAGTGCACCTAACGCGCACATTTTAAAAGGGAGAGGCCGGCCTTGTCAAACCAGCAGCCACTTATTTCGCGGCACGCATGCAGTTCCGGTCCAGTTAGAGGTGTACAACGCCCGGTCGGGCTTGGGAGCAACTTTTCATGAGAGATGGAATGGAGCTGTTCACTCCACTTAAATGGGCTTCTTGGTATTCTGCGACGTTTAATCATTTAACTTCGTTTTCCTCGCTCTTTGTCATTCCGAAAACTGCGAAGTGCAGCTGAATTTAAAGGACCCGAGTTTTCCATGTTCCAAATGTGTATATTACAGCGATGCGAAGCCGGCGCGCTGCAGCATTTTCCTTCACCGCATACGGTGAAAAGACATCGCGTTTGTGTCACGTCAACTGCCAGGCAGCAGGTGAAATCTGGTCGAACGCAACTTAACTGTGCTCTGTTTGTACATGTGGACAATGATAAAGCAGTCAATTTGAGGACAACTGGCAAGCCCGGAGACGAGTTGTTCCGAAGCGTATATAGCTGGCGGGAGGACAGTAAGAGCGCATGCAGCAGTGGACTGAACACTGATCAAAATGCATTGATGTCGCAACTGTAGAACCAAAGTTATTTGCACAACTCATACCAACCAGAAACCCTCGTCTAAACATTTGTTCCGCATCCTACTGAGCAAGGAATGCTGTGACAAAAATATTGCAGGAGCACAGCACGGCTCATCAAATTAAGGAAGCTAATGTTTTTCCTAAGCACTCATTTATCCTGGCCGCATTGTATGTCATAACTGTGCGTCATATATTCTAGTAAAACATACGCATGATAGCGCCAGAATTGACAACAAACACGCTTCAGATCTCCAAACGTATTGTTATCTCTCTCAAACGAAACAGACCAGCAGCCGTCCTAGACTTGGCGACACACATCTGACCAAAACCGCCCAGCTGATAGTAATGCAGACAGGCGCCATGATGTCCACCTTGCGGTGGTTTCTTCCGGTTCCGATGGTGGGGATCTTTTTGTCCCACTCCGCCATCGGATGTCTGATTGCAGCTTCCATACGCGTGGCACGCTGTGGTAATGCCATGAAAATGAAAATTCGGATACGGCTCCGATAGCCGGCAGCGCTGCTGAGGTCTGTTGCCCTGATCTGTTGTCTCTGTTGCCCGTGAGGTGGCCGACGGTGCCCACTGTTTAATCGGGATATTTTCCGCCAGGCACTTGGTTCAGAACCAATTCGGTTGAAGTGATTGGGTTTCCAAAAACGTTTCCAATCGCTGATTTAATCGCAACGTAAGATCGAAGGGCAGCACAATTATTGGCACCTCCTGAACTGTGGGAAATGCCACAAAGTTGTGCGCGTGCGATCAACAAAACTCGGCTAACCCAATCCATTTGGCAGTTCATCAGAAACATGGTGAATAGGCCATATTTCACCGGTCAGATGTGAGTCATGGATCGGAAGCGGTCCAAGCAGGGGGTGCCGCTTGACAGAATCGGATGTGAGTCATGGAACGGAGTCGGTCCCAAACAGGGGATGGCCGCCGATCAGAATCAGTAACCTGCTGCGAAAACCAGTAAGATGTTACAGCTTTGGTGTTTATTGCCGTTGCAGTCGTCTGTGCACGACCAAATGAACATGGTTAAGCGGCCTGAGTGTGTCTGGCGGGGCCAGCGGCCGTGCGCTATACCCAATCTACCCGCTGGCGCCTTCCGCAGCGAGGCAAAGTAACAAAACAAACGGCGTTCCGTCTGCCGTCGCAGTGGTGGATTTATTGCGGGATCGAGATTTGTGACGGTTGTTATCGTTTGGAATCATTGCATGAATGGCCCGGGCTTTCATTCGCGGAGACGCTTCAGCAGAGTTAAGCTGGATTGATGCATGGTCCGTGCCAAGAATACACCAGGCGAGGACAATACGACCTAGACGATCCAGAGCGATTCAGACTTCACCGATTAGCAATAGTTATATCCGCCTCTCTAGTTGAATAGGCGTGAGTACGCGGCGAGGTCTGGAAAGTTCAGTGCGTAACTTGCGGAGAACTAGCGGGAACCGATAATTGCACTACATACAGTTTGTGGCGGTAGCGTATGTTGAACAAGCAATTAAATTTCTCAACACTCGCACAAACACAGTTTAAAGCATATCATGTTGACGATAGAGCGGGAAAGGAACACTTCTGGTGCTCAAAGTTATACCTGGGACGCGAAATCTGACCACGGTTGGCCTGCACCGGCGGACCGCTCTCCGGCTGCCTGGCCCGCCCTGAGATGGCCTCTGGCAGGGTTCGCATGCTTGCAGTGGAAAAGTGTTGCCAGATGAGGTTTGCACTTAGATTTCCAAAAGTAAATAGTTCGGCACTTACTTAAGCGATATGAACCGTTTGTCGCAAGAACATCGAGTGTAGGGGATTGCATCGCATCGTTCGATCGCATCGCATCGTTCGATCACATCGCATCGAGTATCGCTCTTTGATTGTGTGCAGTAGAACGGACAAAAGAACTTGAAATTTGAAGCCATCAGCCAAACAAAAGAAAAGAAACAAAAGTGAGTGTAGGTTCAAGGAATTGAGCCAATCGCTTTGTTTTGACAGACAGGCCGATAATGTGATGACGTGGAACGCGATGCCGTCCTCGACCGCGGCGATGGTGGGGAAGGGCTCGGGCAGCTCAGTGACAGATACTCCCGCGTCGCCCTGACGGTGCGGTCAGAACGGTCGGCTTCCGCTACTGATTCGGATGCCGTCATCAGCCTCTCCACGGATATAGCAGGCAGCATCGGCGACGGAAGTCGTGACACCACCTCGCTTGTATGAGACCGCGACGCGGGATCCGCCATCTTGCCCTTCCTTCTCGTCTTTTAGGCTGTACTTTGACGATTTCGTTTCATCATTTTTTTCTGACCGGCTCTATACCCTGCGTTGACAAAAGACTGCAAAAAGCCATGTCCCATGTGGTACCTCAGATATCGATGGTCGTTGTTTTGTTGCATGCATTTCGGAAGGCCGGGCCACGCTACGCGTGCTACCGATGTCCAGTGTCAGGCGGTGGGCGTGGCTTGGTTCTCTCTACCACGGAAGCGGGGCGGTATTCCGCGGCTGCTGTCAAGACACGGTCCACCTGCCGGCAGTTGGACAGACACGGTCCACCTTCCGGCGACTGTCCAGACACGGTCCACCTGCCGGCGGCTGTCCAGACACGGTCCACCTGCCGGCAGTTGTCCAGACACGGTCCACCCGCCGGTGATCGGACAGACACGGTCCACCTGCCGGTGGCTGTCCAGACACGGTCCACCCGCCGGTGACTGTCCAGACACGGTCCACCTGCCGGCGGCTGGACAGCGGCTCGCAGCAGCGCCGTGTTCCGGCCGCCCCGAGCTGGATGTAAAGGGCCGCCGCGTCCGGCCGGCGGCGCTGGGAGGGCGCCCGGCGCGATCACCGCTGAGCCGAGCTAAGCCGACCGAGCCGGCCATTAGCGTCCGCACACAGAGCTGAGGAGCGGAGCGGTGAGGCGCGTGCCCCCCTCCCACCACTCCACTCCACCCCGACCGCCGTAGACCGGCTCGAGTCGAGACATTGCGCACGGCTAACGAATTGCGCGTCTTTGGCAGCGATGTGATGGAGTTCATTTAGACTGGGGTTTGAAAACGATGGAATGTTTTTATGATTTGTGGCTATGTGTCTGACACGCTGAATCCATTAATTTCGATGTTGGTCGTGCTTCTTGCTGTTAGACCCAACGTACCCATATATATATATATATATATATATATATATATATATATATATATATATATATATATACATACATAATTCATATTAATGAATGGAAAAAGTAATACATAACGTGGCCTAGCCTTTCGGTCATGCCTGTTTGCTTTAATGTTGCCAAAACATGATGTTATCGGTTTTGTTGAAAGTTATCAAAAGCTACAGTGCCTGCAGTGTTAAGCTCTTTTGTGTTATTATCTGGTGCTCAGTCCTGATTGGTTGTGACGTCACCGCTAAACCTCGCCACCGGGGCCTTGCTGTTCCATGCCGGTTATCGTTAGGTTGAGCCTGGGTGACCTTGGAATATTGGCCTCACGGTCACATGCACGTTTTGATAAGTTTCGGAGGCCCGGACATTGAACTGAAGGTCTGAAGCATAATGCTGACTAGGCAGTGGCAGTGAAGGTTGCCATGACAAATGGGAGATTTTCCAACCACCTTGGCGTCATGTCCTCGCGACCTTGGGGTCGTCCACTATTAGAGGCCAATGACATTGGTCGCGTTTGCGTCAGGTAACAGTCCGCAGCGCAATACCGACCGGCCATCGCTCCTGTCATCATAGACGGCGGGTCAGCGTTCCAAAACGCTGGCCATGCCATGACGGGTCAGGGGCGTGGAACGCTGGCCATGCTAGGGTGGGTCAGGGGCGCGAAACGCTGGCCATTCCAGGGTGGGTCAGGGACGCGAAACACGAAGCAGGACTGGGCGTGCCATGGTGGGTCTGGGGTGCGAGACGCTGGCCACTGCTGTCATAGGTGATTTACGACGCAGTATGCTGAGACTATATGGCGTCACCTGCCCCTTAACCCGGTGGGAATGGACTCCATTAAGAGGTCTTCCAAGTGTTAGTCCTCGGTGAGTCTTCAGATGGAGTTCTCCAGATACGGTGTCCGGTAAATAAGTCGATTCGTGGTTTGTCGAAGGCCTTATTATCAACTGTTTAAATGACAACTTCTATATTGACGACATGTAAAATGATGACGTGCCAAAAGTCGAATCGGCGACATGGCCAACTGCAAAACGGCGACATGGAAGACTGGTGACGCGTCAAAATGGTGAACGGCCCAATAACGAGCTGCAAAAAATGGTGATATACCAGAAAGTCAAGAAACCAAAACGGTGAACTGCAAAATGGTGACACGTGCAAAAGACAACATGCTAACTTGGCGAAAGGATAAAACGTGGGCTGCTTATAGAGAACGTTCCACATTTGAAGATGCTGAGGCAAACTTTAGACATGATGTGAAACGCCTTCCATGTCACCGATCACCAGCACCGAACCCGAATTCATCGCTATGTTGCAATTCGCCATTTAGCCGTTCGCCAATTTGGCATATCGACATTTTTACTCGTGACCATTTTACAACTCGCCATCATGCCTTTCGCTCTGTTGTAATGTCAATTTTTACATTTCGCCTTTCGGCCTTGCGACTCTTTATCGCTTCGACTTGTTTACATGCCGCCATTCCGCAGTCGGTGTACAGCAGTCGAACGAAAAGACACTCGCCAAATGGGATTTTTGACTTGTTGTCTTAGAACCTAGAGCTGTAGAACTTAGCTAGAGCTATAGAACTTAGCTAGAGCTATAGAACTAAGCTACCTTGGCATCACTTTCCCACGGGTTGTTTTTCATATCATTGTGAGTCGTGTCTTCTTCACGAACTACCAACGCTTCTCCAAAAACCACGAGCAGATGAAGACAAAATCACACGATCATTGGCACACCTGGTTAAGCACATGTTACCACCATAGTAGCCAATGCAAAGCTTACACAGAATCAAATAACCATCGTGATGCATGTGAGATAATTTGGCGAAAAAGTGCATCTGATCTCATCCCATTGCTGCATTAAACCCATATGCTGTTTTATTTACCCATCTCACCAGATATTGCCAGGTCGGAATATCAAACCATCAATATGCATCGAACGAAATGAGGCGCTCAACGTCCGTGAATGTTCGAGACAAAATCTGGTAATCAGCTTAATTACGCGCTTTGCTGGCAACAAAAGAGCGCGTGAAATTGGTGCCATTCAAAGTCCGATAATATTACACATGTGAGATACGATAACACGCACCGCCTTCCCATGTCAAACTTTGCCTTCCCCTGGGCCACCAGTGGGCCGCCGGACTTTCACCGGCTTTCTCTGCTGTGGGGAAACGGCCCCTTCGCGGCGGTGGGAGCAGCCCTGACTTTCTAACGTCAGGCCATGAACGACAGGAATCGTTGCCATGGAATGGCTGTACTGGAATCGCAAAATTTATTCTGGATGCGACACAATTCACGAGAAGCGTGGCTCCTTTGTGTGTGGATGTCGGAATGCTGATGCGACTTGGCCTCTTGGCTAGAACCAACATCTTTGTAACTGCCGCAACATTCAGTGATAGGTTCCAAATTATTTTGCGAGTACGGTCGTTTGCTTGACTTACGGTTAACCACAGTTTATTGGCCTTCACATCATTCCCATAGCATTCGTGGTGCATCCCCCCTAATCATGCAGTGACGCTGAGGACGTGCCTTCCGGCCCTAGACCGTGGAGTTCCCCCGGTCGTTGGCTCTGGTGACGCACGCTCCTCACGTGACCATCTGGACCTGGTCTTATCTCAAGTGGCCGGCCTCCGCGCCGTGATGAAGCCGCTTGTGTACAGACCGGGCTCACTTTGCTGTATTCACTCCGTGAGGCCCCTACGACGTGCGCGAGCGAGCGCGGGGTGGGGACCGGGGCGTTCAAAAGCCACTGGCTGACACGGGTTCAGCGTTAGGAAGACGGGTTCTCAATGGCGTCGTACGACGTTACCCTTCATTCAGAATTCTGATGAACCATATTTTCCACGCGCGCCGTCTGGCGCTATTTGTGCTCCCCCTCGGTATCGACCGCGCCGCGTGACTGGGCGACGCCAGCCTCCGTCACGGTCAGCTGGCCGGCCACTCAGCTGCCGCCAGCTCTGCGGTGCCGCCGCGCAGTACGCTCTTCTGTCTTCGCCACATGCGCGTCAGCTTCCAGGGATGCACGCTTCCTCTGCTGTTTGGCTGAGCCTCCATGCGGATTGGTGCCTCGTTGGATGCTCTGCGGAGCGCATTAAATCGCGGCTGTGTCGGCAGCTGTCTGCGAACCGGACGCTAATGGTCAGTCGTCGATACCGCTGCGTCGATAAACCACTCGCAAAGTTTCGAATGTCCCCTACTAATGTCAGGACCCGTTCGAAGAGCTGCCGCCCATTCCACGTCATCAGCTCAATGTCAGCATGAATCTCTAGCCAAGATCACGGCCCTTGCAGCCATGCAGCAAAGCTATTGGGAAGGCACATGTAACCAGAGTCCTTGATCTTCTCAGCGCAAGAGGACCTTCTATTACTTTACTTTTAAAGGACATCGATGGGCGGTGCTCCCAGATGACAATTTGAAGCCAACCTGTAAGGTCATTGGAGAGAATTGCCGCCGCCCTCATCTGCTCCGGTGACGCCGTGGGTACTTTGTCCGACAGAGACTGCGAGGGTTCTGATGTTTGCACCAGTTGTCCGGCAGGGACTGGAAGGCTCCTGACATGCGTCCCTTTTGTCGGGCAAAGACTGGGAGGCTCCTGACATGTGTCCCTTTTGTCGGACAAAGACTGGAAGGCTTCTGACATGTGTCCCTTTTGTCGGACAGAGACTGGAAGGCTCCTGACATGCGTCCCTTTTGTCGGACAGAGACTGGAAGGCTCCTGATGTGTGCCCCTGTTGTCAGACAGAGACTGGAAGGCTCCTGACATGTGCCCCTGTTGTCAGACAGAGACTGGAAGGCTCCTGACGTGTGCCTCTGTTGTCCGACAGAGACTGGAAGGCTCCTGACATGTGCCCCTGTTGTCGGACAGACTGGAAGCCTCCTGATATGTGCCCCTGTTGTCGGACAGAGACTGGAAGGCTCCTGACGTGTGCCCCTGTTGTCCGACAGAGACTGGAGGTCTGCACTCCACATGAGGCCAGACATGTCGATGAACATCGAAGTGCGGACGAACGCTCAGGCGTTCCTACACATCATGCTGAAGCGGATGAACCTGACGCTGAGCGACTGGGAGGCGTTCACCAACCAATCGGGGGTGTCGGACGACCTGGGCGACACCACGGCAGCCCGCAGTGAGGACATCTGCGGGGAGGGAGTGCGCTGGCTGCGCGACTCTTACCGGCCGCTGCACGGCTACCTCGCCCTCGTCGTCTGCGTCTTTGGCTCCGTCGCGAACCTCATCAACATCGTGGTGCTGACGCGGAAGGACATGCTGTCGTCGACGAACATCATCCTGACCGGCCTGGCCGTGGCTGACATGGCCGTGATGCTCGAGTACATCCCGTTCGCCTTCCAGCACTACATCGAGGGCACCGATCAGTTCTCCTACCCCGCCATCGCCTACGTCCTTTTTCACGCGCATTTCGCGCAGGTGTTCCACACCGTGTCCATTTTCATGACGGTGATGCTGGCCGTGTGGCGTTTCCTCTCGATCGTGCATCCTGCCCTAGCTGTGCACTGCTGCACCATGAAGCGGTCCATCATCTTCATCGTCGCGGCTTACCTCGTGTCCCCCATCATCTGCATCCCGTCCTACTTCACCTTCGCCGTGCACAGCCGGCCGGCGGGCGGCGGCACCATCCTATACAGCATCGACATCAGCGACGTCGGTCGTCGGCACCATGGCCTGCTGAACCGCGCCAACTTTTGGCTATACTCGGTGCTCATCAAACTCGCACCTTGCCTGGCCCTCACCTACTTTTCGATTCGGCTGATCCGCGTCCTGCTGGAGACGAAGCGGCGCAAGCAGCGGCTCATGACCGGGTGCCGGGTCCTCAGTGCCGATCACCACCTGGTGCAGGGCACGCGCCAAACGGACCGCACCACGCGCGTGCTGGTGGCCGTGCTGCTGCTCTTCCTGCTGACGGAGTTCCCGCAGGGCATCCTGGCGCTGCTCTCGGGCATCCTGCAGGATCGCTTCTTCCGCACCTGCTACCTCCACGTCGGCGAGCTGCTCGACATCCTGGCGCTCACCAACTCCGCCGTCAACTTCCTGCTCTACTGCCTGATGAGCAAGCAGTTTCGCGACGCGTTCCGCTCGCTCCTGCGGCCGCTGCTGCGAAGCGACCGGCAGCGAGAGGCGTCGCCCCGGCCCGGCCGCAAAGTTCCACAGCATCCCTCTGGTGGTCCTCAACACCAACTACCACGCAGGTGTGAGCCGGCCCGGGCCAGCGGCAGATCGGCCTCGGTCGAGGGCGAGACTGGGCGGCGTCGGCACGTGCAGGGTTCGAGTTAGGGAGGTCAGGGCGGACCGCAGGCTAAAATCGAAAGCCCGGCCGGTGGTGAGGGTCTGGATAACAGTTCGCGTGGACAGGGAGGGCTTCAGAATGTTCAGGGCTTAGCCATTACTGGTCCACGAATAATCCAGAGGAAAAAGCTGTGATCAGAGGTGCACAGTTGTAACTTGCCGCGCGGCAGCTGTGCTGTGGGATGCATGGTAACTGAGCGTACGACAATCGGCGGCTGTATTGAAGCGCTGTCTGTTAACATTCCTTATCGACATTGGGAATTGCTCAAGGACATAAAAATCCCTAGCTTTGTAAAAGACCGAGGGCTTGTTATATCTTTGATTCTAAGGGATGCTCCCAACTTTTCTACAGGGTTAGTGATTGAAGCGTAGGAGCATTGTGGCCCATACATTGGGAATAGTTTAGCCACTGAAATGTGCTGTATGTGCTTGACAGTTGACCAACTCAGGACTTGGTAGAATACACTTCCAGGTATTTTTCTAACGGCTACCTTACTTAATATTCATGCTTGTGAATGTCTGTGCGCATACCCCTCCTTATGCTTACTTGTACGTCTTTACCTCCCTATCGTTGTGGAATGAACATTCACTTTTTCAAACAGATCCGTAGACCATTGCATGTTTTGTGAGTCGGGGTTCGCATAGCTCGGTGTAACTTTTATGTATCGGGGGAAGGGGGGCGGGGGCGAATATATTTGTCCGCGTGTTATTTCCTCAGGATGAACACATACTGGTTTATTATCCGCTCGTTTCAGTGCGATGTGGCCCATACGCTACATTTAAGCCCCGAGTGGCTTTGTAACGCTTCCTCGATGACTACGTCTCGGCCTGTAGAGGCTATCTTTCATGTACATCTAAAAAAGTGAGCATCTCACTTCACCGACAATCAACGCGCGCACAGTAGTGCACGCCTTTTTGCGTCGTCGTTCGGATACCTTCGTACGCAATGCAGGGACATTGCGTGCGCCGTGCAGGGACATGGCACAACCACTGGTCCACCATAGCCAGGGAGCTCCAGCCTAGTATGGCTACCTTCTGACATTGTTGCGTATTCCACCGCGGTCACGTGACCAGCGCCGTTCCGCTATGTGCGGTAGGGTGGGCGCACGCGGGGTCCGCGCACCGCCGCGACCGGCGGCGATCACGGGGGCGCCGCGCCGCGCCTCTGGGGGCGATGTTGTCCGTGCTGTTGTGGGCAGGGAATGCTGTTGTCCGCTCTGTTGTGCGCAGGGGACGATGTTGTCCGCTCTGTTGTGCGCAGGGGACGATGTTGTCCGCTCTGTTGTGCGCAGGGGGAAATGGCCGTGTCGGCGGGATGTGCTCGCGTCATATCTGTCGCACTGTGGCAGTGTGCAAATGTAACTGGCGTGTTGAAAAAATACAAGTATTTGAGATTGTTTTCTTGCTCCAGAAAGAAGATTGCATAGACATAACCTGCACAAACTCAACCGCCCATATAACACAAATGAATGGCCATTCCATGTTTACAAATCCCAACGTAGCGGTAGAGCCCGGATGAATGGTATCCACCATTTGTACCGTATCTTAATGGTGAAAATAGATTCCACAGAGCCCAAACTGATCGCCTGGCCCCAGCAACCGGGCAAACGGAGTGTCGTCAAAATTTAAGTCTTTGTCTTAGACGGCCGCCGTATCACACACAACTTCTGACTATCGGCGGTATGAGGAGAAACGTAAGAAGTGATGAAATACATGAATGAATCCTTGTAGAAAACATAACATCCAGCAAAGCTTGGCTCTTCCGATATTGCTGTTAGAGCCTCTTGCAAGTTAGAGCCTCGACATAGGATGTTATGAATACTGGACAACGATACATTTGCCAGCGATGTATTTGATAGAAACGACAGGGGCTCTGCCCACTGCTAAAAAGTTTTCAATTTAACACAAAAAATTGGCATATTTTCCTAGTCAAAATGGCATCGTGTCTTTTGTTAACAGCTTCCTCTTTGCGCAGCACCAATACCGCAAGCGCTTGGCCCGCACGATCTCTATGGGAACGGAGTACCATGCGGGGACTCTCCCGTTATGATGTCGTTTTACTACGGGGCTTCACGGCCGAGGGCAGAGTATGGAAGCCCGTTCACACCTGAAGGACTACTAACAAAATCCGCAGCGAACTCGTTTTACCTACAACTTGTGCCTTGCGTGCGCCTTACCGGTCAGCGTTCTCAAAACGAATGTGCCACAATTGAGAGATATTGAGGCAAGCATTAGCTATAATGAATACGTTCAGTTGTAACAATTCGTATGTTTTGAAGTGCAAAACACCGCTTAGACAACAAACTCTCGGTGTTTAGCATACATGCTCCTCAATACGTCATTATTTGATGGCGTCATGGGAGGTTCGTATGACGTCAGGGGATGCCCAACTGGTCATGGGAAGCTCCTATCGTAACGGACGGGCTGACTCACACGTACTGCTTCAGCTTCTCGAGATGCATCGGGCTGTCGGTGCGGTGTCGGCAGAACACAAATATCGTTACGTGCGCGCGTTGTGGCCTTTTCTCGTGGTGTTTCTGCATATCAGTCCGTTGTTTTGTATTCTCTACTTGTGTTCATATGCTCGGTTATGTGCGGTTTTGTTATGTCATTGGATCCCCAGTCTGATTTCCAACATAATCAGCATCACTGTCCAACTTCCCGAACTCCGTAGCACAAAACGTTATTGATGTTGAAAACTGGCGCCGCATGCACAATATTACTTTATAGCCAATTGGACTTGTTGGTACCAAAAATCGTGCTGTACGTCAGGCGCGAATAGTTCGATAAATATCTTTCTGTTAGCCCGGAGCACCACACGGCCAAAGGGGTGGCAGCACCTGTGTGACGTTTGTCTGGTGTCACGCATGCCCGGGTGACCTTGGAATAGTCAACATGAAAATATCTGCACAGGTTCGCGGGCGTATGGCTTAGAAGCCAGCGGGTTTTAAGTCTTAAGAAGGGCTGGGCCGTGACCTGCAATGAATGATCTTCAAGGCTATCTCAGTTCAAAATCCCACGCAAAAGTGAAACACTATCTTTAAAAATAGCACTCTATTCCGCAATAGTTGGCGGCTGCAAAGTATGCAGCGGATTCTGCAGTCATTCCGTAGATGTGAACGGACCTAAGGGGCAGCGTGTTAGGTGTATGAGGTTTGCAGGTGCTTAAATGTTTTTCTTCTTTTTGTGAAGAGCCTGTTCCATAAAAAGTGATGTTATATCATTACTCTATTGTCGTGAAGTTTCCGGCGTTAAGATAGCCTCCCGCGATTAAGATTTTGTGGTGTTATCTTACTTTTTGTATGACGAAATTACTCAGCCACATAATTCCTAGCTTGCTCTAGCATACGCATATGCAGAAATTGTTTGCCCCCGCCATGCCCCGCGTCGAGACCAAGTAAATGGAACAATAGAGAATCGAACAATGAACCAACGGGCCATGAAAGTCCTTGGCCACGTCACACACATAGACATGGCTTATGTAAGAGCACATGCTACTGCGCATTGCCACCGGAATGTGACACCGCAGGACTGGTGTCAGAAGGGAAATTAATCATTGGTCTGCTGGTAAATACGTGTGCCAACTGAGCCGACGCCACACTGTGCCACAAAAACCAACACCAGCCGAGCTTTATGGTGCTGGAATTAGATCGGAAACCATGGATGGGTGTATAATGTAGCGGGGTTAACGTGTAAAAAATGTTAAATACTTATAAAACATCTAGAAAATACAATATATATATATATATATATATATATATATATATATATATATATATATATGCAGTTCGCTTGAATCTTGAAACCCATCACATAATGAATTTTGCAATATTGCAAAATGTGTACAACCTGCATAAAAATGCTATAGATATGCCCAAACGCTAAAAGGGGTATCTACGGGTGTCCGAATATATGGTAAGCATGCTGACATGAGGTAGAAATTAGCTTGGCTGCATATCAAAACTTTGTTGTATTTTTTTCCATCAGAAAAAGCGTAATCAAAACTCTTTTGGATTGAATATATGGCATGCAACACCCAGCTGGTATACTTCTAAGCGGCATATCGTGGGTGTGGTCAGGTCAGTTCTCAGCGCATTTTACAGTCGGTTGGCTCTCAGGAGCATGCCTCTCACGGAGACGCAGTCATAGTCTGTCACAGACTATGGCCAGTGACAGACTCTGAGTGATGACACGCAGTGCGAGCAATCGCGTGCTCGCTCAAAAGCTCCGAGAGTCATCCGGCTCAGGCTTCTCCTCCGTCTATGGCCCGGACTTTGTCATCGCCTGAGTGGATCGGGAGCGGCTGCTCCACATATGACCCAAGGCCGAAATAATACTTAAGAAGTTAGCTGAGTAGCCAACGAATGATTGAACTGCTCGGGCATTATAGGGCTTGACCTTGAGACGAAGCACACGGACGATTGAACGAGTGTGTGGGTGCGGACTCACGACAGGTTAAAGGACAAGAAGCGCGGTTGGAGAGGGGTTGGGTGGGGAAACAGGCGCCGTCTTTGCCATCCAGCAAATGTGACCCACGAGCCGGGTCCACAACAATGCCGGCTCGGCGCAGGGCAGCGACGCACCGCCACGAGCGAAGGACACGCTGGGCTGTTCCGCTACCCGGACGAGGACGAGGTACCCACCCCGGACCCCGCCGTTCGCACGGAATACGCTATCACTCAGTGAGGTAAGAAACGAACGTTTGCGGTGCGTCTCAGTGAGCCGTGTATTTTGAATCATCTCGCGCGATGTCATTGTGCGGCTGTTACACCACCAATGGTAAAGCGTGGATGAGAAAATAAACGAATTATTTAGGTGCACGTGCGTCACTGAAGAGATAAAGACTCTGGGCAAATGCGTGCGCCTGGCGAGGAAAGATACTAACCTAGAAGTGGGCGCTGCTCTGAATGGACCTCGATGGGTTTTTCTGTAAACACGACTGCTGGACAGCATATCTACCGAGCTACTGCAGGGGGCAAGCAATAGCAGCGGAAGTGCGGAGGTGGGAGGGAGAACACCAATAAAGCTGTTTTTTAGGCGTTCAGGTTAAGGCGTTTTTAGAAGAAATAATTAAATGCTTTCCAGGGTTCTTCACCATTCGATTTTTCTGGCTGCGCATGTCGTACGCGACACACTGCCCGGCCGATACAGCACCATAGGCATGTGACTGGCAGGTTGCCACACAAATGTAACAAACCGCTTTCACGCAACGTATGTACCGTACATTTCAAAAGTCTATGGAAGATGCTCACTAAAAAATTCATGGTTCGGTGTCGGCAACACCCCCGAGGCAGTTGTTGTCGAGGACATTTTGTCGTATTGTCTTGTATGCTTCTTGTACTTTTGAGCTTAATTATTTGCCTACATGTGTTCCTTTAAACGAATTCAACGAACCGATTGATTCACTCCATCGATTTGTGCTGAGAATTGTGAAAATGGAACGGTGATAAAATGCATAAATATAATACAAAAATGTTCAATGCTCCATAGTAGCTATGACAGGTTATGTTTTATTCGTGTCACTTGAACATACAATTTTGTATCACCTTTCAAAAATGCATATCTTTTGCTGTTCACGCATAACGAAAGCTGCGAGCAGTCATCTAGCAGTGTGTAATGATCAGGAAAAATATACATATAACCCATTGTTCTTCAGAACCACCAGCTTCCTCTCCGACTCCTCCTGGACCGCCACCTCCTTGCCCTGCGGAATCGCTGTCCCAATCAACGCACAATCCTGCTGCTGGGCCCATGGGCAAAACCCAAGAGGCAGTAAGAGGCGCAGTACGCTCCACGCCGCATCTTCGAGACCATCTCCTACTGCTCCCAGCAGGGCCTGGTGTCTCATCGCCGAGACGAGGAGAAAGGGAATGTGCTGCGGCATCTGGCGACAGCAGCGAGGCGAGACCCACAGCTTTCTCGCTGGCTGACGCGGCAGCTGCATTTTACGTCGCCAGAAGCCCCGGCTGAAGAGCAGCTGACGTCAGCTGACGCTGACAGCGACTCGGAGGGCTGTTGTCGACGTCTCTGACGCAGACTTATGCGCGCGGATCGTGTGTGAGCCCACCGACAACACCAGACGGGAGCAGATGGCGGTGCGTCTTCGCTACGTCACCAAGGAATTGATCGCGAAGCGGGTGTTCGTCGGCCCCCACCAGACGGACAGCCCGACCGGCGAAGCCCTGCCTCCGCTGCTCTGCACGAGGTGGTGCTGTTACAGCGCGAGGCGTCTCGCGGTCCTGGGAGCGGGTGACGCGCGCTGTTGCGCCCCTGGACGTCGACCGCCGAGGCTCAGGGGTGAGAGGCGACCCCCGCGACGTCTGTGCGGGGTCCGAGCCAACCCACCCCGCAATCCCTGAGGACGGCTACAGGAGAGTGCATGTGGAAACCGCAAACTCTCTGGTCTCGTTACTGAGATCCGCGGTCGGTACGAGTCCGACGTGCCGACGGCGGCCACGGCCGAGCGCGCCCTCCTGACAGAGGACGACCAGACGCTAGCCGAAGCGGCCCAGTTCCACGGCCAGGACGAGCACCGGCTTCCCTGGCGGACGTAGTGCGGAAGAAAGGCACTCGACTGGCTTTTTTAGATGCCGTTGTTGCCCTGCTGAAGCAGCAGGTGCTGGGAGAAGTCCTGACAGTTGCTTCCACGCTGCTCCGTCTCATGTTGACGGCCCCTGTGACCACCTGCTCAGCTGGGCGGACGTTCAGCCTGCTCTGAAGCGTGATTAGCTGGCTTCGATCCACCATCAGCCATGAGCGGCTCAGCCACGCTGGCATCCTATCCACCTATCCTGACCACATATCCAGACCTCCTGGATTCACTGGACCTCGAGGCCAAGGTTAAGCTGTACGTGGCGCAGTCAAGCCAGCGTGTGAACACGTTCGGCCGTTGGTGATGGTGTTTGCAAGAGACTATAACCCAGTCACGGCGAGCTGAGGGGGAGCTAGCATTACTTGTAATGTCGACCGTGTTGTTTTCACGACCCTAGGCATCCACTCCCGGGTATTGCGGGCACACAGCACTACCGCTGTGGCGCGTGGTCCTGAGTGAGATGAAGCGATGCTTTGCTGTTTCTGACGCCTAACTTATTGCCTCCATTCCTTCTGTCGCATTACAAGTGCAATACTGCCGTGCACGCGCCGTGTAGGACGTTCCTATGATGCAAAGAACTTGTGATGGAGTGATGTTTTGTTATTCTAGTGTGGGAGTTGCTGGCCTCACTCTTCTTGTGATATTGCTGGTGCCGTGAATGGTGCGCGCGGTGTGGTTCACATTTTCCTGAGATGCCGCAAGTCGTACAAAGGAGGACTTTTTTCTATGTCTGCTATATCCGTCACTGTTCGGCACATGTGGAAAATGTCGTCGTCGTTTGAACTCAGCTTGTGGTTTTGGTTCCCATGATGTTTGTTTCTAGTCACCGACGATGGCAGTAATTTTGCGTATAAATCTAGAATAAAATTTGTTGCCGGTCAGTCTCTAGTGCGATGTTTGTGCGTGATACACTATATCGGTGAAATCATGTACTAAACCAGTTCATCGGTGACCCCTCAAGGAGGTTGCGTTCGTTCCGATAATCATTGAACGAACACAATTTGGCTGATACTTGACTTTAGCACATTTTCTTTTATTCATTTGCATTGCGCTTTCCCTTGGGATGACGAACGCTCCAAATCTGTGCAAGTGCGATGCAATATACAATGGTCATTTTCAGCACCAGAGCGATTTGGAATCAAGTCATTACGCGCCATAAACAAATACTATTGAGCAAATGTTTTTTTTTATTACATGCATTTCTTTGATGTCGCTCGTTTTTCATAGTTATCCTTTTTTATTCATTGCATTTATTTCGTGACATGACGTCTTCTATCACAAGCTGTTTAACGCAGAGTGGGCGCAAAAGTAAGCAGTCAAACTAAACCCCTGTATTAGTGAAGAGTGCGAAGCAACATAAAATAGGCTACTGTCTAAACAAAGACGACGCGCCACGCGAGCGGATCCAGAGTGGAGGGGGGAGGGGCATGGGGTCATGCCCCCCCTTGGGCCCCGAAAGGGCCCATGGGTTCCGAGTGGGCCCGATAGCTGGCCGAACAAACGCAGTTTTTTTACACAGAATGCAACAATATTGGACGTCGTTGGGCTTTCAGACGAACAGTAACAGATACAAGCGAAAGCAAAGAGCCCGGGAGCAGACAAAAGTTATTTTTCGCTGATTGAGAGGGTAGTGGGTGAGAGGCCTTAACAGGGGCGGATCCAGAGGCGGTGGCCACGTGGCCATGGCCCTCCACCCCCTTGGGCTCTGAAGGGGCCCGTTGGCTCCAAAGGAGCCCATAGTCGACCGAACAGATGCAGTTTTTTTGGAACATAAAATGCAACAAAATTTGACATCTTTGAATTTTCAGGCCACCAGGAACAGTTGCAAGCAAAAGTGAAAGGCCAACGAGAAGAGACAAGAAAAAAAGTTATTGAAAAAGTTGGTAGTTGAACATTTTAAGCCCTAATGCGCTGTCCAAGGGATCTGTGCTGTTTCCGAGGGACCTATATGCCCATTTGCAGGGTCATTCCGATCGTCAAGGAGCCTTATACGTTGCGCTCAACTTCTTTGCGTTTGCTCGGAGGGCCCTGCACTGTTGCTGTGCCCTTCCTGCTAGCGTGCTGGGGCGCTGTTGTCAATCAGGGGCCTTCCACAGATTTTTTATTTGCCAGAAAGGCTCTTTGGGCTATAGCCAGGTCCCAAATGTTAGCCTGCTGGGGTATTCCCGGTTGCTTGGGGGCCCTTCACGTAGGTCTTGTTTCACCTACCGACACACTAGTGATATGCTCATGGGCCCTCTGCATTGGTCTAGGGCGTTTCCAATTCTGTCACTTCTTCAGGGCCCTAGGCTCTTGTCGGGGGCCCATCTGTTCACCTGCCTATGCACACTCGGTCGATCGGGGCCCTCTAAATTGGGCCTTAGTTACTGTCTATTTGAATGGGGGTCCTGCACACTTGGCGCCCCATCTGTTAACCTGCTCCGACACACTGGATTGTTTGGGGGCCCTGCACATTGGGTATATTTCTTGGATGCATTTTATTTGCATGTGCTTCGCTGTTGTAGGAAGACTATCTGATGAGCTGCTCGGGCACATTCATCGTTCGGGGCCCCTCTACATTGGGTCGTGGGAACGCCCTACCTGAATGGGCCCTACGGATTTGCCGGGGCCCCTTCCGTTCACCTCTTCGGCCAAACTGGATTGTTCGGGGGCCCTGCACGGTGGATCCTGGTGTTTTAATTTAGGGTTCTGCGCTCCTATCGGGGCCATCTGATAACTTGCTCGGGTACACTCCATCTTTCGGGGGCCCTTCGCACTGGGTTTTGGGCACTTTTTATACCAATGGAGGGCCCTATGCTCTTGTCGCAACCCGTTCTGATAAACTGCTCGGGCACATTCGATTGCTGGAGTATCTCTATGTCGGGTCCTGGGTACTTGCTATTTGAATGGAGGGCCCTGCGCTCTTGACATGGGCCCTATCTGCTAACATGCTTTGGCGCACTCGATCATTCGGGGGCTCTCTACATCGTGTCGCGGGTATTTTGCAGTGTCCTGGAATTCCCGACTTTGGGTGTAAAGAAACACCCTATGAGGAGGAATTTCTCACTCCTTTTCCTCATATCTTATGTGAATTTTTCGCTCCTGCCGAACATTGTCTAATCGCACATGCCAAACCCCTATTTCACTTTCTGAGGTTTTCAGATGTCATCTAAAATCGAGCTCACTTGAAACCACCAAGCATAAACGAGGCTCCACAGAACCTGGACACCTATGGCTATGTCCTGCCTCACCCACATCTGAATCATGTCTGTGGATGCACCGGGCAAGGGCGCCAGGTCAGCTCCTCCCCCACCTCCAAGCCCAAGAACCCCAGCCATCCCAGTCACTTGCACGCATTACGTTTGGTTTGTTTGCAAAGGACATCACAATCGGCAGCTGTGTGCCAAATGCAAGATTTTCACGCATCCCTATTTTTTTGGTCTCACCACCGCACCACGAAAACTGAGCCTGGTGAAAACACCAGCAATGCCTGGTAGATAATTTTACTCCACGTATTTCTTTTTTCCCGAGGAAACTTGACCACTAAATTGCATCCCTCCCGAAAAAAACAGGAGTGAAAAATTCAAGAAATGTCTTCGAAACTAAATTTACAGGGTGAATATCACCATTTAAGTGCTGCTGCTAACAGACTTTAAGTCAAATAAGCTGATTACAAAATGTTGCCAGAAAAGTATCAGTCTTTATATTTATTTAACTACTTTCGTTTTTCTTAGTATCATACGAGTGTGATACCACTTTATTCTTCCTTCCTTTTTGATTGCCTTTAGAGGTACCATCTGTTGCTTAAAATGTCGACCAATTTCTCTGCAAGATGCTCCAACTGCAATCTTGTACGTATTTCATGCATAAATTTGATTAAGTCGCCAGCCGCCCAAACATGTTTGATATGCACCCAATAGCGAACAATTCACAGGGAATGAAGGAGACAATTTGAAGCACGGAACCTTTTTACCGCCATTTTTGCCCTATTAAACCCTCGATCAACAGTTTTCTTGGTTCATGGTGGTGGTCAATAAAGATAAAGCTAAGCCCTCCGAGTGTCTAACTCACCAGGCTACCTGACAAGGCCATCCTAATGCTGCTATACGGAACTTTGGGACGGACCTGACGCAGCTAATACAGAAGTGTTCGGTGGCGAAATTCTGCCCTCTGGAGATGTTTATCAGGCACACCTCTTACTTGTTTCGCATTTTAATCTCGCACGTTGGTGGGCATGATTGATATTTATATTTGAGGGGTGAGTGGGATGACTCTGTCTGCCAGCAGACCATGCAAAAGGTACTGACTTTTTGTTTTGGGGAGCAGGAAGAAGCCAGCTATTCTCCTGTGGGCCAAGTAGTTGCTTACCTTATCTGCTTTCAACACATGATTGGTAACTAGAGTTCGACACTTTTGCTCTAATCCATCGAGCTTTGTCATAATATAAATTGTGATGCCGCAAGGCATGCAATGGTCTTATTTTGTTCCATATTCTAGATAATTTGTCCCAGATTTCTTGAAGTGGTCCCTCATGGCTGCTTTAACCAGATGTTTTCTATAGTTGTCATGTTTTGCTGACTGGCACTGTACTGTGTACAAATGAGTGCACTGTGTAAATGCACCATATTTTTAACATAGGGATACTCTAAGCTGCATAGCAACTATAATATGGGTTAAATATTAGCATGTAACAAATAGTCAGACCATCCCATTTAAAGCGTGAAGCCAACATCTCAAACTTAATCGTGAAATATTAATAAACAAGCCTAAATAGATGCCTTCGCTGCAGCTGAAAAGGCAAGCAGCAATACTGGTATGGTCATCTAAAAGTTATGTTACTTGTCGAGAAGAGAGATTGTTTTGTGGAGCATACCCTTTATTGCCCTTGACATAGGTTAACCATGGCAATCAAAATAAGTTGTTCAAAGTGATTTAAAGTGTTTTGATTAGTGTGTCGTCAACTTTTTCTGATGTCAACAAGCA